CCCCCAAAAGCCCCCCAGAGAAGAGGGAAGGCTGGACCCACAAAGGGAAAGGCCGGGGGCTTCCTGAGGGGGGGGGGTCAAGCTGATCAGGTCAGGGTGACCAGATCATGTCCTCCAAATAACCACAAAGGAGGAGCAGGCCCTGCAGAATGGAGGACATGCCCAAATAAAAAGCTGAGAACACTCCTCCCAGAAAGATGAAATGCATGCCTCAAAGGGAGGGAATTCCCCTTTAGGAATTCCTCCTGGACAGAAGGCTGGAATGGAGGACGTGTCCTGGATGGACAAGGAGGACAGGACAGGACAGGCGAAGCGGCCAACATCTGGCAGGAAAGCCATCCAGGGAGGCAGGCCGCCATGGGACCGCTCCAGAACCGTCCTGAATCCGGAGCAATGGGCCGATGGCCCATTGCTCCGGATTCAGGACGGTTCTGGAGCGGTCCCATGGCGGCCTGCCTCCCTGGATGGCTTTCCTGCCAGATGTTGGCCATAAAATGCCAGCTCTTGCCTTCGGGGCTCGGAATAAAATTTAATGGCCTTCCCCTGTAATTATTCTCTTAACTCTCCCTTCGTAAAGTCATCTGGGCTCCTTTTCTCTCTCTCTCTCTCTCTCTCTCTCTGCAGGAGAAGGGAAAATTCAATTGTGGCAGTTGTTAGTTATTGTGGGTCTGGGTGTGTGATGTGTTTTTAACTGACCTGGTGTGCCTGTTAATTGTTGTTGCTCCAGGTGGGAAAGAAATGATGATGATCATGGTGATAGTGATGATGATGATGGTGGTGGTGGTGGTGGTGGTGATAATGGTGATGGTGATGATGATGATGATGATGATGATGATGATGATGGTGATATGATGATGTTAATGATACTGGTGATGATGATGGTGATGGTGATGATGATAATGATGATGATGGTGATGATGATATGATGATGTTAATGGTGCTGGTGATTATGATGATAATGATGATGGTGATTATGATGATGATGATGTTAATGATGCTGGTGATGATGATGCTGGTGATGATGATGATGATGGTGATGGTGATGGTGATGATGATATGATGATGTTAATGATACTGGTGATTATGATGATAATGATGATGGTGATTATGATGATGATGGTGATGATGATGATGTTAATGATGCTGGTGATGATGATGATGATGATGATGGTGATGGTGATGATGGTGATATGATGATGTTAATGATACTGGTGATGATGATGGTGATGGTGATGATGATAATGATGATGATGGTGATGATGATATGATGATGTTAATGATGCTGGTGATGATGATGCTGGTGATGATGATGATGATGGTGATGGTGATGGTGATGATGATATGATGATGTTAATGATACTGGTGATTATGATGGTGATGGTGATGATGATGATGATGATGATGTTAATGATGCTGGTGATTATGATGGTGATGGTGATGGTGATGATGATAATGATGATGGTGATGAAGTGATGATGATGATGAGGAGGAGGAGGGTGATGAGGATGATAGCAGCAACTACTACTACTACTACTATCATTATTATCATTATTACTATTACTATACTACTATATTACCCTACTAAATTACTACTACAACTACTACTACTACTACCACCACAGCTGGCCCTCCCTCCGGATTCTTTATCCACGGGTTCCACCATGCACAGCTTGAACATATTTCTGCAGATGTATACATTCCAAAAAACATGCCTTGATTTTG